CTACTGGATGAGCCACTCAACCCACCCTCAGTGGGTCTTATTTTATTTAAGCAGTTGAACAGTCTTTTTTTTTTTTTTTTTTTTTGTGCCCTTATAGGGGCTTGAACTGAAGGGCTGGGCATTGACCCTGAGCTTTTTGCTTAAGGCTAGTGCTCTATGACTAAGCCACAGCTCCACTTGAGGCTTTTTAGAGATAAGAGTCTTAGGGACTTTCCTGACTGGGCTGGCTTTGAACTACAGTCCTCAGATTTTAGCCTCCTGAGTATCTAGGATTCCAAGTGTGAGCTACAAGCACCTGGCCAATCTGTCTTTTTATTTATTTTTTAAAACTTTACCCTGTTTTTTGTTTTTGATCTTTAGCTGTACAGAGGAGTTGTCATTTAACAAAATAGTTTCAGACTGTCTTTATTTTCAGTCTTTTAATTGTCATATTTTGACAGCTTACATTGTGATCATTTATATGATTGGATTAAATTCTGCTAACTTGCCAGCTTTTTCAGTTTATTTCATTTTGTTTTGTTTTTGTGCCTTCTCTTGAGTTGAATTTTTGTTGTTGTTTTGGGGGTTTTTTTTTGGCCAGTCCTGGGACTTGAACTCAGGGCCTTAACTTCTTTTTGCTCAAGGTTAACACTCTACCACTTGAGCCACAGAGCCACTTCTGGCCTTTTCTGTTTATGTGGTACTGAGGAATTGAACCCAGGGCTTCATGCATGCTAGGCAAGCACTCTCCTACTAAGCCACATTCTCAGCCCCCATAGTTGAGAGTTTTTATCATGCCATTTATCTCCATTATTGATTTATTTATATCTTCAAAATTTTGTGGTTACCCTGAAGTTTACAGTGTAATTGTTTCAGTACTGGGGATGGAACCCTGGGCATTAAGCATACCAGACAACTGCTGTACCATTAATCTGCATCCCCAGCCCTTACAATGAACATTATTATCATAGCCCACCTTCAAACATACGTTTTACATCTAACGTAAGACTTTATAGCTCTCTCTTTTTCTTTGTGATATTGTTGCAGATTATATATGGAATTTGCCTGCCATCATCTTGGTGGCAGAAATGGTAACTGCTGACCCAACCTGTGACCATCTTACTCCCTGCCCCCTGCTGCCCAACTCCCAGACAGCAAGGAGGAGATAGTGGCAGTAGCCACAGTAGTGAGAAGGAAGATGGCAGGACTCCTGCCAGCTGGTATCATACACAAAACTAGGATAAGCTAGGAACACAGAACCACAGTTCATCCCATGCTGTATTACTATTTGGGAGTCAGCAACAGTAGTAATCAAACTCAGAGGCAGGCAATGGAAGGGTTGATGACCTACACTTCTCCATTGGGGGAGAAGCAATAGAAAAACCTACATGTGCAGCAAAGTAATCAAACCGTTATGGTCTAGTACAAGATTTGGACTTGATAAAGATTTATGAAACAAATGATCTTTAAATATTAAAGGCAGAATCTGAAGATCATATTCTCTCTGTGCTTTCTTTCTGTGCCCCTCCAACCCCCCTCTTTTGTGCCAGTACTGGGGCTTAAATCCAAGACTGGATTCTGTACTTTAGCTTTTTTTTTCTCTCTCAAGGCAGATACCTCTACCATTTGAGCCACAGCTCCAGTTCTGGCTTTTTGGTGCTTGATTGGAGATAAGAGTTTCAAGTACTTTCCTGCTGGAGCTGGCTTAAAACCATGATCCTTGTATCTCAGCCTTCTGAGTAGCTAGGATTATAGATATGAGCCATCGACACCCAGCTTCATTATTCTCTTAACTGGATCTCCACTGACTATTCCAGATAACAGAATAGACAGCTTAAATAATATTTGAGTACTTCTGCATCCCTCTTATATATCACTACATAGGCTTTTCTTGCTTTAACTGTATCTTGGATGTTAAGACAAATAAAACAGTTGCTGACTGGCATGGTGGTTAAAGTGGAGACATTGCCACTCATGACATTCCTTTGGTTGAAGGGTGATTGGTAGCTATTTTAAACACATTCCAGTTACAGGATGAGATATGCTGTTTATTGAATAACAACTGAGAGGCTAAGTAGTAGAAATACTTCAAGAACAATCTCTAAAAACTGCTAAGGCAGTAAAAGAGTGCTACAGTAAGGCCTGCCTAGAGTAAATTCAGCAATGACAAAAATGAGTCAAAGTGAATTAAAGCATTGAATCAACATTATCTCAAAGGAAGAATTTTCCTTTGATGTAGTTATGAGAGATTCTTGGACCTGAAATCCTTTTCATCCAGAGTTTGTTAATATGCACTTGTCACAACTTATTTCAGAAGTTGTAGTAGATGATGTCAGGTGTCTTATACACAAGAATTACATTGTCTTGGAGGTTCAACCATGTTTTAACATCACTTGTAGAGATTTGAAAAGAACTGTAGATGCCAGGGTGAAATTAAGTGAGGATTTGGGTGGTGGTAACCTAAAGCCAAAGCCGATTGACATACAATTTATTACAAGCAGTTTGGTTTGGAGGCTCAATGTTGGCTTCCACAGCTGAGCTCTGCAAAGTGTTCAGGTGATAAGGATTATGAAGAAATTGGATCTAGCAGTTGTTGTCATAATCTAGTGTTTGAAGTCATGTTGTAAATTTGGCTTCCTAGTTTTATGGGTGCAAAAGAAAAGCTTCCTGATTACCTCTTTTGTCTAGAAAACTGCTTTTGAAGTTTTGTTTTTGGGGGTTTTTTCTTGGTCATCGGGTTTGAACTCTGGGCCTGGGCACTGTCTTTCAGCTCTTCAGCTCAAGTCTAGCACTCTACCACTTGAGCCACAGCGCCACTTCTGGTTTTTTCTGCTTATGTGGTGCTGAGGAATCGAACCCAGGGCCTCATGCATGCAAGGCAAGCATCTACCACTGAACCACCTTCCCAGCCCTGCTTTTGAGGTTTTAAACCTAACCTGAGATAGTAAGGTCAAACATGATTATAAGGAACATTTTAATAACAGTTTCAACATAAAGACTTAAAGAGAACCAAAAGATTTTTTTGTCCTTAGGTTGAATGTTCAAAACCTCTGTAACAAAAAGAAAAGGGTTTGGGTTCTGTTTTTGCTCTGACAGTTTGTATAAGACCAAGATTTGATGGGGTTTATTGGTATGTAGGCAGTTCTATACTTCTTGAATTTTATACTTCTGAATGTACAATTATGTATATTTCATACTTTTTATACTTTGAGGGAAAAAAGTGTCATTTAAAAAAAAACTTATGGGGGGTTGGGGATTTAGTTCAGTGGAAGAGCGTTTGCTTGGCAAGTGCAATATCCTAAGGTTGGTCCCCAGCTCTGAGGGGGTACCTATTATTAAGTGCTATTTTTTTATTAAAAAACAAAGTAAATAATACTTTTCTTACCCATATTGGTATAATTAAAACCTAATACCATTCTAATAAAGCAACAAATGTCTCTTTCAAAAATCTCCCTATAATGTATGTGTGCGCATGTACGTGTGTGTGTATAAATGTATGGATATATAGTAGTATGATATTAATCTACTGTTAATAAACTGTTCTTGTTTGAGAAAAATAAGTTTAGGGAGTGGCTGGTGAAATGAGTTGAACTCAGAGCCTTGTGCTTGGATGACTTGCTTGCCTTATGGCTGGCATTCTACTGCTTGAGCCACATCTCCAGCCTGGCATTTTGCTAGGTAATTAGAGATGGAGTCTAGCAGACTTTTTCTTCCAAAAATGACTTTAAAACCATGATCCTGTAGATCTTAGTCTCCTGAGTAGCTAGGATTACAGGTATTGGCTGCTGGCAACTGGCTTGAGAAAGTTTATTTCTCCATAAATAAAAGTGTTTTTATTTCTAGATTTAGACTTTTGCATTAAAAGTTACCTTTCTTTTCTTTGAGCAGTACTGGAGTTTTAACGTGGGACCTAGACCTTACTAGGCAAGCACTCTACCCCTTGAGCTATTCCTTCAGACCTTTTTTTGCTTTAGTATTTTCCAAGTGAGTCTCACAGTTTTGCCCAAAGCCAGCCTCAGACCATAAGCCTCCAAACTATAGCCACTTGGCATAGCTGACACACAGATTGGCACTACCATATGTAACTTATTGATTGCTAACTTTTTTGCTTGGACTGGCCTCAAACTGAGATCCTCTCAGTCTTCACCTGAGTACCTAAGATTGTAGGCATGGGCTGCCATCCATAACTAAAAGTTCTATTTTTGTATTTAAGATAAGATTTTACCATCTTTTCCCCTTCATTTTACCCAAGAAATTGGCTATCGCTTTTGACTGTTTCATAATAAATAATGACTTTTTTTTTCTTTGTCTTTGGGATTTTCTCTCTGTTGTTTGTAGCAGCTAGAATATATGCAGGGGCAGAGATTTGTTTGGATTGTAATATTCAAACATTTTGCCCATTCGCTCTTCTTCCTTCAGGAATTCTAAGTGTGCATATGTTAAATTTTGATGTGTTGAGTACCAGTGGCTCACGCCTGTAATCCTAGCTACTCAAGAGGCTAAGATCAGAGGATCTAGGTTCCAACCAGCCTGGGCAGGAAAGTCTGTGAGACTTTTATCTCCAATTAATCACACACACAAAAAAAACAAAACCAAAAAACCAGAAGTGGAGCTGTGGCTCAAATGATAGAGCCTTGAGCCTAAGAAGCTCAGGGACAATGCCCAGACCCTGAGTTCAAGCCTCGGGACTGGCACAAAAATAGTTTTTTGGTTTTTTTAATGTGTTGGTTTGGAGGTTTTTGCTCTTATTATTTAAATTGTTTCTTTTTAGTTCAGATCTATTGATGGGCTTTTGAGTTCATTGATATTTTTCTTTGCCTTTGTCAGATTTACAATTAGCCTGTTATTTTTTTTCACTATTAGCATTTTAAATTTTTTTTCTTATCTTAGTCTTGGAAAAAACCTCCTGACCCGGAAATCACCAAGAGCTGCTCCAAAATAGGCTGTAAGAAGTAAACTCAAGCCAGCTCAAGGAAGCAGGAGTGAGCAGAAAGTCCACAGTTGCACTTGAGGGACGGAGAGCTGCTGGTGCATCCACCAGGCTGATTGTTTGCTCAGGGTCAGTGGTCATCTAAATCTAGTCTTTTATTTTCCTTCTCATCTTCACAAGACCATTAAAATAACAATTGTATTGTTGTTGTTTGACATAAATACACCTTATTTATTTATTTTATTATTGTGAGAATACTGTACTGAGGGGCTACAATTACATGGGCAAGATAACGAGTACATTTCTTATCAAGCATTGTTGCCTCCTCCTTTGTTTCCCCTTCCCATCCCTTCCCATACCTCCCTACCCCCCTACCTGATCCTCCCCCCCCACCAAAGTTGTAAAGTTTGTTTTTCCACATAACAACTTGTACATTTTATTGTTGCAATGGATCCACCTGTATCCCTATTTAAATGATTTGTTTTTTCCCTTCCCCTCCACAAATTATACCAGCATTAAATATAGTGAAAGCAGGGGTTGAACAGGACATAGGATCTTGGATTGTGGAATGTCAGTGTTAGGTTATTAGAACCTCACAAAGGTCTATGTTTATATAGTTTCAAAACAATTTCCTGAATCCTCTCTCTATTTTGTGTCTGTCTGGACACTGTCACTAATTTGTTTCATTTTTTTTGTTAAATATTTTGTAAACCTGCTGTCTCAGAGTTACTGTGTTCTGCTCGCTGATGAGTACACTGATGAACAAGATGTCCTTTCCTACAGAAGCTGAAGGACTCCAGCTCTTACAGGAAATAGAGTGTATATTTAGTATGGTATTGCAGATGCAAAAGTCATGGGATGCAGAGTGGAGTGATTCATTTAGATTAGAGAGACTGCTTAGTGCTTCTTGGAAAAGGTGCCAGTTTTACCAGGATAAAAAAAAGTGTTTAAAATTCTGATAGGCTGAGATGCCTGGCCATTGTAAGTAAGCTCACAGCTTATACAAAGACCCTGATTTGTGAAGTGTTTCCTTAACAATTCACATTCTAACAACCTGCTTTTTTTCCCTCCTCTTTGATTGTTTTTGTAAGACTTTGTGGTTCCTTCTCCCTTTTTGGTTACTTTTGTCTTTGTTTTCCCATAGCTCCAAAAGGTAAGTTTCAGCACTTGTTTTGTACTTTAGGATTCAGACATGTAACATCACCTTGATATTCTCCAAAGGGAAGTTCAGAACATTATTCCTCTATTATTATTATTCCTCTCTTTAGCCTGTGTTTCACAGTGTGTATTTAGCATAGTCAGGTGTCTCTTTGCATGCATGTAGGACCTGACATAGGGAAGATCTTGCCATGTTAAAACCCAGTGGAATGGACCAAAGCTTTTCATCACATGGAGTAGTCATTGCCCCTTCAACCTTTCCATGCTCATGCTCTTGATAATTGGTAAGCTTCAATACCTCTTAGCAGCTTCTTTCCTCGTGGCTGCTTAGCAAGGGACTACTGCTGAAAGATGCAAATGCACTCTGCCCTGCTAAAACATTGCTAAAAACATTTTTCTTTGCTCTACGAGTATTTATTGTCTACTTATTTTCACCAGTTAGTGAATTGCCTCAAAAAGGTCATGTGTCATCTTCCTTTTTATCAGGGACTGGTAGGTAGAGGTGCAGGTTTAAGACTAGATCCTATTTGGCAGTGGATCTGGGAGGTTTAAAAAAAAAGCCATGGGAAGAAGACCATTGATAATATTTGGACAGTAGGAGACCAGCTGTCCTGATAGCTTTGGTGGAGGAAGCATGACAGGAGTCGGGAGAAGATACCTTAGTGGTTTACACTCTTAGGAAGTCACCCCGTGATTTTCTTTGACTTAGCTGTATAGAGTTGTGTACTGTTCTCTTTCTCCCCTGACTAAGAAAAAGGAGGCTCAATTGAAGAAAGTAGCTGCAAGATATATAAATACATACATATATATATATATATATATATATATGTGTGTATGTATGTATGTATATATTCCCAAACTAAATTCCCCTTAAACTGCAAATAGGACTGTTCATATGTGTGAGCACTGAGAATTGCTTTTAAGCTAACACTTTGTGTTTTCTCTGAGGCAGGAAGCTAAACCATCTATCACCAGAAATGTCTTCAGAAAGTGAGGAGCAACATGACCTTTCACTGAGGGCCTCAGATGAAGAAAAGGACAGTTTTTCATCCAGGGTCCCCCTGGAGACCCAAAAAGAAACAAGCACTAACTTCAAACAACTTGAGACGGACAATCAATGCAGATCTTACCGTGGGATCCATCTGGAGCCTCAAGAGAAAACAAATACTAGCATCAAACAGTTTATCACCAAAAAGCTACAGAAGAGTTGCCAGTGTAGCCCAATGAAAGCCAAAAATATGATTTATGATTTTCTGCCCGTTCTGCGGTGGCTCCCAAAATATGACCTCAAGAGAAACATTTTAGGAGATGTGATGTCTGGCCTGATTGTGGGCATCTTACTGGTGCCCCAGTCCATTGCTTATTCCCTCTTAGCCGGCCAAGAGCCTATCTTTGGGCTATACACCTCTTTTTTTGCCAGCATTATTTATTTCCTATTCGGCACCTCCCGTCACATCTCTGTGGGCATTTTTGGAGTACTGTGCCTTATGATTGGTGAGGTAGTTGACCGAGAACTGCACAAAGCTGGCTATCCTACTGCAGGTATTGCTCCTTCTTTTGGAGTGATTTCCAATGCGAGCACATTAATAAATATGTCAGACAGGATATGTGACAAGAGCTGCTATGCAATTAAAGTTGGCAGCACTGTGTCCTTTCTGGCTGGAGTTTATCAGGTAAGAAATGATGGAACAATTGGATATTTCTGGAAAAATTAAACTCTATATTAGATCTCTGATCTGTAAGGGATTCTTAGGTATCATAACAATTAAAGCAGTTTAATAGCTGTGTGCTCAGAATATTTGAATGGTGGAGACAAAATTCAAGTCCTTGACTCCACAGGTGAGGTAGGGCAAGGCTGGCTTTCTTTCCTGTCTTAGTCTGTCTTAACCAGTGAATTTCAGATGGCAGGTTGTAAAATTTCAGACCAGAAAGTCTCCTCAGATACCAAGTAAACTTCACTTAGTATGTCAGGAAACATTGGCTTAGCTTGAGATGATGTGTGTCTGGTTATTGGCTGAGTCAGCATGAGCAGTCTGGCAAGATGGCAAGGTGGTAGGGAGGGAGTACAGGTTTTCAGATTCTATATACCCCCCACCTTCCCTTAGGATTGCTCCAGTGAGGGAGGTACAAGTGGGGACTGTTGGGGAGGGAAGGTGAAGTTGAGGGCTGCTGCTTCATATTGTCATCCAGAAGAGAGGACTAGGAATGAAGTTCTTCTTGGTTCTCCCATAGAATTCACTAATCTGCCTGTCTTGGCACTGCCTGTTAGCATCCAGTGGTCAGGGCCAATATGAAACCTCTGTTACAGCATTTCTGGAACTAGCCAGGAAGGGAAAGAGTTGTATTATGGGGTGATTGATCAGGGAATCAGAAGGAAGGGGATGTACAGATGAGTTTATTCCTCAGCAAGAAAGAAAAATGTGCAATGAACTTCTGAGGAACTAGGAAAAGCAAAAGAGAAATTTAAAAGGTGTATTTGTAAGGCTACTACAGTATTACTGTCAACATGGAAGACTATGAGATGGGCACGTATACCCTTGATAAGAACAATTGCACTGCATGAAATTAGTGATTTATAAAATTTGTTGTCAAGGTGATGCGCTGACGGGTTACAGTTATGTACATAAGGTAGTGAGTACATGTCTTATCAAACTTATCATCCCTTCCCTCATTTTCCTCCCACTTTCCCTCCTCCTGAAATTAGTAATTTTTAAGGTAAATTTTAAAGAACTTTGATCATATTCACCTCATTCACTCTCTTAAGGGCAATGACTTTGAAAGTATGATTACATTTTGGTCAGAATTTAATTTGTTTAATTAGATAAAGTAAAATTAAAACTTTTTTTTAGCCAAGTGCTGGTGGCTCATGCCTATAATCCTAATTACTCAGAGGCTGAGATATGGAAGATGACAGTTCAAAACTAGCCTGGACAGAAAAATCCGTGAGACCTCATCTCCAAAATAACCAACAAAAGTAGGGCTGCTGGGGTGTGTTTCAATTGTAGAGTGCCAGCATAGCAGGCATGCTGATCTAGTGTAATACTCTGAATTCAGACCTATTATTGCCAACAAAATAAAACAACTTACTTTTACAGTAATGGTTTAGAACTCAGAGAAAACTAGTATCTGCCTGCTGCCTTCCTTTGTTCCTTCCTTCCCCTCACCCCTCTTTCTCTCCTTTCTTTATGTCATATTGGGGTTTTGAATTCAGGACTTCCTGCTTGCTAGACATGTGCTCTTCTGCTTAAGCCACATATCTGGGCCTGTTTGCTTTAGTTATTTTTCAGACAGAGTCTTGCATTTTTGTCCAATGCTGCTTCATACCACAATCATCCTACCCATACCTCCTGCATAGTTGGGATTATAGGTGTACCACACCTAACTTGTTGGTTAAGGTGAAGATCTCACTAACTTTTTTACTGGCTTCCAACCATGATTCTCTTGATGGCCTCCTGAGTAGCTGAGATTATAGGTTTGTGCCACTCCTCCCTGTACGTGGTTTCTCAGTTGGAAGAATTTTCTAATTTGAGTTTTTAGTTTTCTTGTGGAACCTTAAGTATTTTCATTTTGGAAGAAATCTGAACCTTCCACAAATTTTAAGAAGCATTGTGTAAAATTGTAGAAATCCTAAATTCTAGACTCAGCTAAGCTAGTGAATAACAGTGTGACATTGAGCAGGTTTCCTGTTCTTGTAAAATGAAAATATTTGATGTATGGTTGCATTATTCTAGCTCTGATGATCTGGTGGTTTGTCATCTTGTAAGAAGTGCCAGAATAATAGAGCATTTAGAAGCTCTTTTCCATTTAAATTTAATGCTTGTGTATCCTCCTTTGCAGGTAGCTATGGGCTTCTTCCAAGTGGGCTTTATCTCTGTCTACCTCTCAGATGCCTTGCTGAGTGGATTTGTCACAGGTGCCTCCTTCACGATTCTTACCTCTCAGGCCAAGTATCTCCTTGGTCTTAGCCTTCCTCGGAGTAATGGCGTGGGCTCACTCATCACCACCTGGATACATATCTTCAAAAACATCCTTAAGACCAATCTCTGTGATCTCATCACCAGCATTCTATGTCTTTTGGTCCTTTTGCCTACCAAAGAAATCAATGAACACTTCAAGTCCAAGCTCAAGGCACCAATTCCCACTGAACTCATTGTTGTTGTGGCAGCCACATTAGCATCTCATTTTGGAAAATTAAATGAGAATTATAATTCTAGTATCTCTGGACATATTCCCACTGGGTTTATGCCACCTAAAGCTCCAGACTGGGACCTAATTCCTAATGTGGCTGTTGATGCAATTGCCATTTCCATCATTGGTTTTGCTATCACTATATCCCTTTCTGAAATGTTTGCCAAGAAGCATGGCTACACGGTCAAAGCCAATCAGGAAATGTATGCCATTGGCTTCTGCAACATTATCCCTTCCTTCTTCCACTGCATCACTACTAGTGCTGCTCTTGCAAAAACATTGGTTAAGGAATCGACAGGCTGCCAAACCCAGCTTTCAGCTGTGGTGACCGCCCTGGTTCTTTTGTTGGTCCTTCTGGTAATAGCTCCTTTATTCTTTTCCCTTCAGAAATGTGTGCTTGGGGTGATCACTATTGTAAATCTCCGGGGAGCCCTTTGCAAATTCAGAGATCTGCCCAAGATGTGGAGGGTTAGCAAAATGGATACAGTTATATGGTTTGTTACTATGCTGTGCTCTGCTCTGATAAGCACTGAAATAGGCTTGCTTATTGGGGTTTGTTTTTCTATGTTTTGTGTCATCCTCCGCACTCAGAAGCCAAAGATTTCATTGCTTGGCTTAGTAGAAGAGTCTGAAATCTTTGAATGCATGACTGATTACAAGAACCTTCAGACGAAACCAGGTATCAAAGTTTTCCGCTTCATAGCCCCTCTCTACTACATAAACAAAGAATCCTTTAAATCTGCTTTATACAAAAAAACACTAAACCCAGTCTTAGTAAAGGCAGCTCAGAAGAAGGCAGCAAAGAGAAAGCTCAAAGAGGAAACGGTGACTTTAAGTGGAATCCAGGATGAAGTTTCAGTGCAGCTTTCCCATGACGCCGTGGAGCTGCACACGATAGTGATCGACTGCAGTGCAATACAGTTTCTAGATACAGCAGGAATCCAAACATTGAAAGAAGTACGCAGAGATTATGAAGCCATTGGCATCCAGGTGCTGCTGGCTCAATGCAATCCTTCTGTGAGAGATTCCCTGGTCAGAGGAGAATATTTCAAAGAGGATGAAGAAAACCTTCTTTTCTATAGTGTGTACAAAGCAGTGGCATTTGCAGTAGAATCTCAAAACCAGAAAGGAGTTTGTCTTCTCAATGGTATAAGTGACTGATGGAGATAAAATAGATGGAAGGAAAAAGAATGCCTAGCCAATAGATAAAGTATCAGTACACAACATTTTCCACTATGGAACTGGAAATCCTTGCACACTTGAAATTAATTCTTCCTTTGAAGATAATGTTCTTACATTTTCAAATGAAGCAGAGCTGATAAGTGGGCAGAATCAAAAAGAAAAGAATGCTGTAGTTTCAGGCTCTCATATAGTAAGAGGTATTTCTGGGTGTGGTCTATGTGTACTGAATTGAACCACCTTACTTTAATACTGTACATTTGGGCTCTTCCTCCTCTAGAGGTAAAAGGGAGAAGTTGAGGTATGCCTTGGAAGTGCTGAGACCTTTGCTTGGCTCTGTGGAGAAAGAGGGAAGAAGGCAGGGGAATTGTGCCTGCTTTTCATGCCAGCGGTCAACCAGCCAAGTTTATTCTTAGCCGTGTTTCTCTGTCTCCACACAGAAGTAGCATCTCTAGCTTTTAGGAGAAAGCACTATCCCTCCTTCCCTTAAGGCAGGGAACTCCTGCCTTAAGTCTCATGAGGAATCTGATGGCAGGTTTGGCACATCCTGACAGCCACCCTGACATACACAACACCCATTGTGAACAACTGACACACCATTATATCTAGGGTAAATAGGTAAGCAGGGTTAGAAAAAATGGATCTGTTTTGGCTTCCAGTTACCTTAGTATGCTTTCCCATGGAATCTGTTGTAAACTAGTGTTTGTTTGTTTTATATCAGCCACATGCCATACAAAATAGTATACTAATTCAGCAGTTTCTTACAGCATTTTAAATGAGTTTGTGATACACTGTCACAGACAGATTTCAGAAAGGAATGAGTGACGGTTCCCTTAAGAATTACAGTCCTTGGGCTGGGAATGTAGCTTAGTGGTAGAGCGCTTGACTTACATGCATGAAGCCCTGGGTTCAATTCCTCAGTACCACATAAACACAAAAAGCCAGAAGTGGCACTGTGACTCAAGTGGTAGAGTGCTAGCCTTGAGCAAAAGAAGCTCAGGGACAGTGCCCAGGCCCAAAGTCAAACCCCCAGGACTGGCAAAAAAAAAAAAAAAAGAAAAAGAAGAAAAAAGAATTATGGTCCTCCCTTCTCTTTCCCCCCAGGGCAAGGGTCTGCTGGGGACAGACAATTTTCTTACATAGAAGTTGATGTTCATGGAAAAAAGGTGTGCAGAAATGTGCAGTGACATGATTAATTAATTTGTAGATGTTCTAATGCTGATGCTTGCCATTCACCCTGTTGCTGTATAATAAATGATAAGGACAGATTTAGAAGCATCACATTCATGAAACTCAAGTTCTAAGGGTATATTAATTTTGCTAGCTGGCTCCAGATAACCAATTGAGGAACAGTTTCCTTGGAAAAGCACAGCTATCTGATGTTGAAAGCTGATATTTAAGTGTTTGGGGCCTTAGCAGGCAAGAAAAAGCAGATTCTCCAAAGTTAAGGATGGGGGTTTTTATGTGATATTATTTAGCCACGTCTTGCCAAAGTACACAATCAGTTTAGCTGTTCTTATAGGTATTTATGAGAAATGCACCCTTATGTAGGGTTCCCATCATACACAAATATTCATATAAGTTTAGCTTTCTTGTTAGCTCCATAACTGTTCAGCCAGTGCTTCTTTTCTCTTGATAGAGCTCTCCCATTTGTTTACATGGAGAATACTTTTTGCCTGTTTGAAATAAGGTCTCTCTTGTAGCCCAGTCTTACCTTGAACCCACAGTCCTGCTGCCTCATCTTTCCAAGTGTTGGAACTACATGTAAACCACAACACCCAGTGAAAATACCTTTCCAGTATCACAACAGAGCAGTTTCTGGATAGAAAAATCTGGATTTCTGTCTTCTAGGTCATTATATGTTAGATGTAATATTTAAATGTTTGTCCCAAGGGATTTTTTTTCTTTTTTCCTTTTCTTTTTTTTTATGCCACTACTGGTACTTGAACTCAGAGGCCTAGGTGCTGTCCTAGGCTAGTACTCTACCACTTGAGCCACAGCTCTGCTTCCAGCTTTTTTGGTGATTAATTGGAGATAAGCATTTCATAGCTTTCCTTGCCTGGGCTGGCTTTGAACTGCAGTCCTCAGATCTTAGTCTCCTGAAGGGTTTTGTTGTTGATCTTTTGAGACAGTTTCACTGTGAAGTCCCAGCCGGCCTGGAACTCTCAATATTTCTGCCTCAGCGTCTGAGTGCTGGGGTTACAGGTATGTACCTGGTCTAATCTCAATTTTTACATCCTTTAGAACTTAGGCCTAGAATTTTAGAAATGTAAGATCATTTACTTTCAGACAGTACTGATTGTGATGATTTTTTTTATTGTGAAAATACTGTACAGAGGGGTTACAATTGTTTTTGTTTTGCTAATATTTACCCTTTCTTGACAGCCTTGTGAATAATTATAATTATAAGATTAGAACATTTTAGTATTTATTTTTAATTTCTCATACCCTTTCCTTGAGCCAGATTTGAATTGAATCTCTTGTAGATGTATAATACTCTGTGAAAAGTAATGAGTACATGTTAAAACAACTGTAATTCTCTAACACCTGCACCGACAAGAATCTTAGTCCAGTTAGCACTTGGTAAAACCCTTACAAGGCTGAGCAGAATTTGCACTTTGTCTAGCATTTTTCAGTCTACATAGTTCCTGGAGCTTATACATCCCATTAGCAAATACTTGACTTAAGTTCTGGTTTGTACCTGTTGCTGCCACACAAAAGATTCTGCTTTTAATAGCATTAGGCCATTAAGATTTCAACAGAATTTGCCTTTCATCTTTTATCCTCTCTGCTTGGGTTGAAGGGTCTGGCTATATTGTACACTGTTAATTTTATTGTTGTTGTTGTTGTTGTTGTTGATTGTGGCTTGAACTCAGGGCCTGGGAGCTGTCCTTGAGCTTTTTTTTTTTTGCTTAGGGCTAGCACCCTGTCCCTTTAAGCTACAATTTTCTGGTAGTTAATTGAAGATGAGAGTCTCATGGACTTTTCCTGTCCAGGCGAGTCTTGAAGTACCATCCTCAGATCTCAGCCTTCCTGAGTAACTAGGATTACAGGCATGAGCCACTGGTGCACCACTGTTAAATTTTTTTGATTACATTGAAAGGAATCAAACCTGGAATTCACACACACACACACACACACACACACACACACACACACACACACACACGTTTTCATTTACTGATTGAAAAATACCAGTACTGCCTACTCCAAACATGAATATCTAAAATATCTTCTCATTGCTTATTAGCACATTTCTAACTGGCTTTAAATGGTTATCATTTAGTCAAAATGAGTTTGTAGGTTGGAGCACTGTCACAAGCAAAGGGCAGAGTGTGCAGTGCACAAGGAGACATATTGTGCAAGGGAAACAAGTTACACTAAAATGCCTGTCACTTACCATGAAGGGAGAGAATGGGAACCAGCTGAATAGGGTCCTGCCCCTGGCAAGCCCCAGGTAACAGAGGGATGAGGACTTGGAAGCGTGCCTGGGAGCAAAGTGCTGTTTCTAAAAGAGGAGCATCACAGGTTCACAGAAGCTCCAGAATGCTCAGAAGCACATGGTCAGGTTATGGCAAACCCCTATTCTGGAGTGCACCATGTCTCCCTCTAACCTGGACTGTAGATGTAGTGTCCCCCTGTGCCTTGACATCTGACAGATGGCTAGCTAGTTTTTCATAAGTGAATAACTTAAAGTGGTCTTGACTTAAGGATTTAAATAATAAGTTCATTAGATTGTTCTAGTACTAACGGCTGCATTTTAAAAGAACAGTGATTCTCTGCAGGGGTGTTTCAGTGTGTGGTCAGGGCTGCCTTGATCTTGTGTAAAAAAGAGAAAAGGGAGGGGATGCATTGCTTGGGAATTTATATTGAGTACCAGAGGTCCCAGGAGCAATGTGACCCCTCTCAATTTCTGTTTTTGGTAGTGGTGGTGGTCGTAGGGCTTGGGCGCTGTCCCTGAGCTTTTTTCACTCAAGGTGAGTGCTCTCTCACTTTGAGACACAGTGCCACTTCTGTTTTTTTGGGGAGTTATTGGAGGTAAAGAGTCTCATGGACTTTGCTGCCTGGGCTGGCTTTAACCTGAGATCCTTATTTCAGCCTCCTGAGTAGCTAGGATTACAGGTGTAAGTCACCAGTGCCCAGTACCCTATTGATATCCTTAGTGAACATTATAAATTCCTTTATATATTTTTGGAGATGAGCTGAAGTATCTTGACACCTATAGACATCACACACACACACACACACACACACACACACACACACACACACACACACTTCTGATCACCTGGAAACACACACACACACACTTCTGATCACCTGGAAACAGGTGCTGGTTCTGTAGTATTCAGTAAACAACATAATGAGCACTTAGGGAGGGTGCTGAGCCCATGTCAGTTCAACCAAGGCTTGATCAGGCCAGAACCAGAGACCTTGTTGCTTGGTCTATTCAGGAAAGATTCCACAGCAAAATGGTAAAAATCCAAATAGGATTTAGACTTCAATTTTTCTTTTTCTGTGCTCTCTGCTCTCAAATCCTAGTCTAGCAATACCTTATTTAAACCCAGGCTTATGACACTGCAGAAAAGAGGAAAAGAGATCTAGAAGGCCTTTAGGCTTCAGACTAGTTTCTCTTCCACATACTATTTTATATTTTAAAAAATCATGAATTATAAATTTGAGTACTTATTATATGAAAATTATAATGGGCCAGAGCAAAATAATACAAGAGTTGGCTTATAACTTATGTATGGAAGTAAAACATTATTTACGTACTCTGGTAAAAGTAAATTTTTAAGGTTTTCAGACTTAGGGGTAGAGAATTTAAAAGATTTATTTTTGTAAGGTAATTTTTATCCTGATAAAGACTATTTTTTAAAAAAAGAATGTTTTGTAACTGAAAATTTAAAGTAAATGTGTTAAATACAGTTAAGAGAATAAAGAAAGCATTATAATAAGTCAATTTTTTGGCATGTATATAATTTTTTAACTTGGTAAACTAAGCTCAGAGGAAGACTGGATAGTGAAGGATACCAAATGCCTTTATTAAAGATACTGTGTTTATAATTTGCCACATCAGCAGTCACTGCCAGAATGATTCTTTAAAGCTTTCATAAACTTATTTTGGCTGGTTTTCCTTCCTGTTGCATACACCATTCCTATAATGATCTAATAGTTGGAATGCAAAGAAGTTGGAGAATTGTGACTGGAGTCATGATGTTGCCATGACATCATTTTTTCCTCAGAAATGAGTATGAGCATACCAAAAGAGCCTACCTTTCCCTCTTTGTAACTTTGTGTACAAATCAAGACATCAGGGAGACCGGTGGATGAATAAATTCTCAACTCTTGACTAATTACCAAAAATACACTGCCTTTTTTTCCTTCATCAAAGCCAATGACTTTTGGGAACATGTTTTATACTATGTATTTTTTATTTAAAGTGCCTTAAAGTCTGTGTAACATGGATGAGTTAACTGATAGATTCTAATTTATTGGAGGGGAAGAAATTGGTTAATATCCTTTTCATTGGAAGAATATGTTATGTAAGATACTGTATTGTTGAATTCATTTTATTTGCTAATAAATTGTTACTCTTAATAAAATATTATGTCCGAATTATTTTTTACAGGAGATTCTGACTTAAAAAAATAGGCACCAGTGAGTTTTAATATAACAACTCAGCTGGGTGTGGTGGTACATGCCTGTAATCCCAGCACTCAAGAGGCTGAAGCAGGACGATCTGGGCTACATGGCAAGATCCTGTCTCAAGAAGGTAGATAGATGGATAGATTAGCATCGCTTCACATTTGGAGAAGGATTTACTCATTTTTCCCAACTGTAACAAAAAT